GTGTCGGGGGGCGTGTCATGTGTGATGTGTGGTTGTGCTGCGCGCGCTTCGTTATATCCACGGGCTCAATCGCACTCCGCGAGACGCCCCTCCCCTCCTCCCCGCCCCCCGGGGGGGCTTGTGTGTCGTGCGTCGCACGCTGTTCCTTGTGTGCCATGTCTGTCGTGCATGTCTGTGTGAGAGAGAGAGAGAGAGACCTAGCTACAAGTTTATATATAGTTACCCAGCCACCTTTTCCATCCCCTAGCCTATATATATATATATATATATGTCTGTGTGTGTTTCGTGCGTGCGTGCGTATGTGTGTATGTGCGCGCGTATTGTCTTGCGTTTAAATGGTAAAAACATTCAGGAGTTACGTTAATATTACGTAATGCATGCGGTGCACAGAATATTGTAGAAGCAGCGTCCGCATGCGTGTGTGCGTGCGAGTGTGCCTGGCAGCTCGCTCCCCCATTTACGTAAGTGCTGCACTCAGTCAAACGATACTTTACACAGAAATTATCTCAATTATTTCAACATCTGATCAATTCCCTTCATGTATACTTCTCTTAATTTCCGCTGATTCACCCCTCCGGTAAATCCGCACAGCAGTCCATGCACGTACGTACGCCTGACACTAAAATAAACGTTTTCCACATAATTACTCACACATAACTGCTCTCAACGCTAGTGTTAGTACGATCATATAGAACGAGACGCACTCGGAAAAGCACGAGCAAAAGCTCCCCCTCGCTTAGCAATTCGTTACAACGCTTCAGCGATCGCCGAAGCATAAAAAACGAGAAAGAAAAGCAACGAGACAAAATTTCTGATTAAAAGTCTCGCGTATAACGACGGCAGCGGAGAGACGGAAGCCAGCGGAAACAAAATCAATATCCGTGCTCATTCTACTTCTCTCCCACCCCTCTCCCTCTCTCTCTTTCTCCCCTCCCTCGGTCTATTTCTCGCTCTTCATTTTTTACCTCTCCCTATCTTCTTTCTCCGTCCATCTATCTTTCTTTCTGGCGCGCTCACTTTCCCTGTCTTTTTCCTTTCTTCTCACATTCTATCTCACTCTCCCCATCCCCCCTTTCCACTGCTACAACACGGACAGCAGGCAATCTCAGACAGTCCGGTTAACAACGCGAGAAGCTTCTTACGTATGATTCGTTCGTACAATTATCCACCGGAGAATGGAAAAACCTTAAGAATAGTAACAGCTCAATTTGCCCTGTTTTACGGCCAGATGGACGTTTCTCCCTGTCATTTATCGATGAGTTGTATCAGGCTTTGTTGCGTGAACTGTATACAGTGCTTAATAGTGGGCACCACAACTTGTAAAGAGAACATCGACACCAACGACGATATAGATGAAACCAATGATGAAAGTGAAACGTAAAACAGAAACAGAAACAATTGTGCATTTTGCTGTAGTCTAACGAAGACACTGCAGTCTAGAATGGTCGCATTTACAATATAAGAAAGCGCCTTTCGATAGTTCTATTCTACAGTTTACTATATATATATATATATATATATATATATATATATATAGAATTATATATTATATATATATATATATATATATATATATATATATATAATATATATAATATATAAACTTTCGAGAAGACAAATTACATGCTCGTGGTATTTGCTGCGTGCCTAACTAGCATTACGGTGGTTAGGCACGACGCGGTGATTTCACCTCTCAGCGAAGCGGCATTTGTTAGGAGAAACATTTTCTGTCGTCCTAACAGGACGCTCAGTCCGGCCTCTGATCACTGACAACAATCTGAGACAATACGATAAGACGCCCCATAACAAACACCCACAATCCGCGCACGAGCACGCGAGCACGCGCGCCCACGGAGAAACCATAGAAATCTAAGCACCTTCGTCTCTCTCTCTCTCTCTTTCTTTCTTTCTTCCGCCCCTCTCTCTTTCCCATTTCTCTCACTCTCTTCTCTTTCTCCCCCCCCCCCGCTCTCTCTCTCTCGCGCGCCTAGCAACGCTCTCTCTTCCCCATGTTTCTATCCCTCTCTCTCTCTCTTCCACTCCCTCTCTCCCTCTCCTCCCTCTCCTCCACTTCTTTCACGTTAGTATCGATTTCAAAACCGCGCACGCGACCATGTTTGATTTATATTTCCAGCAGACGTCATCGGTCGCTGAATGCAACATTTAACACGCTAGAAAGGAATTCGTCGTCGCAGAAAACACGTGTTGGCTGAAGCGCTGGCGGCCGATTGGATAAGCGTAACAGGTGTATACTCGTAATTAGGTGCAATTCGCTGCGAAGGACATAAAACGCTCGTGCGTTGTAAATCACGTACGCACTTCACTTACAAGCTTTCTGAAATCCCTACTGTGCTGTGTGCGTTCGTTCGTTCGTGCGTGCGTGCGTGCGTGCGTGCGTGCGTGCGTGCGTGCATGCGTGCGTGCGAGTGCAGTACTAAAACACCCGTTATTAGAACAATATCGTTTTACTTCATTAGCAGAAATCAATTTTTAATCAAATATTCGTCAACAAAATAACATAGCCCGCTCACCCCACCGCTTCCCTTGATCTCTTTCTCACACCCCTCTCTCACCAAATGCCACCACCTCTCACATCTCATGAATGCGATGCGTTCATCACCTAACATCGAGTACACAGGATATTGACATAAACCACTGCCTTCTATCACACACCTCCCTCCGACTATGCCGACCCTCTCACATCAACCGATCGCTCGCTAATCTGTCACCTTCCAGCATCACCCTCCGGCATGCACTCTCACGCCATCATCGTGTACGCGGGGGTTTATGGCAGGAGATAGAGTTGTGCTCTTCCTGTCATTATGTCACTCACAGCATTATATTCATTAGGTAACGCCACCGCTGCTGCTGCCGCCAATATTATCTCAGTATAGATTAGTTTCAGACAATCTGCGGCCTGGCCTCGAACGATGACAGGAACGTGTATATATATGCGTGCGTGCGTGCGTGTATGCAAATGCTAGCATGGACGGTAAATAAATGCAGCCGCCGCTGCTGCTGCTGTGTGAAACCCATTCAATTTAACACATGCGAAAAACTTGCAATTCACACGCGCGCGCGCGCGTTCTCCACTGAGGCTTACTGCTAAGCATAACATCAGCAATTACAGTCTACACGTGTTACTGCTGCTGCTGCTGCTACTGCTGCTGCTGCTACTGCCGCTGCTGCTGCTGCTACTGCCGCTGCTGCTGCTGCTACTGTCGCCGCTGCTGCCGCTGCTGCCGCTGCTGCTGCTGCTGCTGCCGCCGCCGCTGCGGCTGCTGCTGCTGTTGCCGCTGCTGCTGCTACGATTGCTGCTGCTATTGATAACGCCTAATTTCGGTGTAGCGCTCTTGTACGAGGTTGACACGTGTGATTGTTACAGGTCGCTGTGTGTGCCTGCTATTAGTAGACTGTACATGTGTGTCAATTATTTTCCGAGGGCGGAGGCATTGATTTTTCTGCGGGCTATGCGACCTAGACCCTATATTAAGCCAATGAGCTGGGTTTAAAAGCTATTAATTATTCAAACTACGAAAATCTGTCGATATGCGCTATGGCAAATAACGAGCAGTAGTTATTCATTGGTTGAAACACGGGTAGCAGGAAAAAGAAGAAGCATAAAACACGAGGAGAAGGTTAACACGCGAGAAGAAATGTTCGTTGTTGTTGTTGTTGTTGTTGCTGTTGTTGTTGTTGTTGTCACTGCCTAGTGGTGTTGAGAACATCCACCACATAACGGTCAAGCTACATTACTAATATCAAGAGCTAATAATCAAGCTCTTGCTAATATGACTACTAACACACACAGACTGTAAATGTCTACCACGACATATTTTTCTTATTGCTATTGTTTTTGTCATCGTCGTCGTCGTCGTCGTCATCGTCGTCGTCGTCGTTACTGTCGTCGTTGTTATTAAACCTTGCGGAAATTGTCATTGGCATTATTGTTCCTGTTGCTGTTGTTGTTGTCGTTATCGCTGTTTTTAGTGTCACTGTCGTCGTCATCGTTGTCGTTGCAACGACACATTGAATGGGTTTGAGCGTAAGCCGCAGCAGCATAATTGCAGCGGAATGAGGTGAATGAAGAGCAGCAATTAAGATTACCATGACTACAGCATCATCATCTATCGAGCTGTATCCTATAACAGCATGCTGCAGAGATGGAAATTCAGACAAGCCCCGTTTCATATATCCTTGACTTTCCGGGCACATATCCGATACAGAACTATGATAAATGACCGTCTTCGATTTTCTTGTAACCTCGACAGACCCAAGGAAAACCCGTCACACAGACATACACGCAAACGCGCGCGCGCGCGCAGGCAGAGGAGCGCACACGCATGCACGGGCAGACAGGCATGCGCACGCACGCACGCACGCACGCATGCACGCACGCACACATCTTGTAGTTCTCTCCCAGATGGTCCCCAAAACATCAGCTACGACACTAACTTACAATTGTAGCTGCAATCGATGATCATTATCATTAAATACGCCATGTGAAAAATAACTAATGCTTTTTACGCGAGAGCCCGAGGCTGTGTTTCTTTCTAATACACACCCACCCCACGCCCCACGACCACCCCAACCACCACACACCGCACGCCGCGCACCCACGCCCACACGCATACACACCACGCGCGCAACGTCAAACACGTACATCGCGTGCACACACGACGCCGCATAGACAACACACGCCACCACAGCACCACACATGCTGATACTCATCACTGAAAGACCCGCGAAACGACACACTGAGAACGTGCACCGTCAGAGTAATACGCCGCGCGGGCGGAGTTGAGAGCGAACTTTAGCGCGCCTGTTGCTCGTGGTGTTATCATCGTAGGCTTAACGTAGAAGGTTACATACTTACGTAAAATGAAGCCCGCATCTCGTTTTGTCAATGGCCGAGACTTGTGCGAGAGAGTTTAACATGGAACCACTTAAGACCACTTCCAAGCGAAACGCCGTGTTTTAAACTTACCTTGCTCGTTGTAAAAACTTCTCTACTATTACGGATTAGATAGAAACTTATCGGTATCTGTTTTTGCGGAGGCGGCAAGTTGCCTCGTCGGCGTAGAGTGATAGCTAGGAAGGGTATTACCCATGAAGCGAAGAAAAAAGGATGGAGTGAGCATAAGTCCGTCGGTCTAGAGGAGTGTGGGCAGTGCGGAAAGAGTGGTGTAGGTTGACGAGCTCCAGCTCGGAATAGCAAGGAGAGAGAGAAATTAGACTACGATGAGAGCGAGTGAGATGAGCGAGAGTGGATGGAGTGGAGACTGAGAACAGCGAAACGACGGTAGGAGTAGGAGAGCAGAGAGAGATGGGAGGTAATGTGTACGGTGAGAGCCCCGAAGCAGAGAGAGACCGATAAAGAGAGCAGAAGACGACGAGAGATGACGCGAGCAGAGACATGAGAAAGAGAGAAAAAGAGAGCAGACCGATAGCAGTGTCAGAACTCGTCGACTTCACACTCGATCGATAGGACAGAATATAATTAGTGATATAAGCGCTCCAATCAGCGCTGATATTAACAGCCATTAATATATTCATCAGAATTCTTTAACTGCTACAAAGTACCAAGCCTCGCCAGAGGACCACTTTAATGGTCGCAGATGAACTGCCGTTCTCGCTGATTCCGAGTGCTGTGCAGCACGCACGGCTGTAGCGGCCGCGTCTTCTAATACCCATAGCTAAGTATCAGCTACGCTCTCGTCAACAGCCGAGAGCATAGACTCGCACTCGTCCGTCTCGCGAGTTCTCATTTCTCTTCTCTTCCTCTCTCTACTCATCTCTCGCCCTCTCCGTCTCTCGTCGTCTCGCGTCTCTGCAATCCTCTCACTCGCGTCAGACTCAATCCACGAGTTCCCATCTCTCCTCTCTCTCTCTCCCATAGATTCTCCCCCCCTCCGCGGGTGCGAAGGTCTCAGCTCTCTCCACGAGCACCTCCAAGAACCTGCGAGTGCTCTCATCATGCTCGTAAAGACTCGCGTGACTCTCCTCTCTCTCTCTCTCTCCTCTCTCATCTCTCTCCTCGCTACGAGATCGCACTGATCTTCTCTCTATATACTTCATCTGTCTCATTATAGCCTATTACCCACTACGCTCTCTCATCATTTCTCTCTGGCTCATCCGTCTAGCACTCTTTCGTACTCCTATCTCGACTCATCTTACCTCTCTCATCATCTATGTCATTCTCGTGGCCTCTCTGGGCTCTTTCTCTCTCTGCTCTCCTCTTCCATCTTCGCCTCCCTCTCTCGTCATGCTCTCTCTCTCTCTCTCTCCTCTTCTCGCTCCACTCCGCTGCCTCGCGACCACTTCCACGCCTGACAAAAAGATCAGAATCGATAATGATTGACAATGAAATTCAACGAAACGTCGCGTGACTCAACACGGGACGCGCCACTAGACGCACCACCACTCACGTACGCACGCACGCACGCCACGCACATGCCACAGAGAGAGAGCAGAGAGAGAGACGAAAACGAGAGAACGT